GCGCCGCCAAGGTCCTCTGCGCTGACAACCTCGCCGGTAGCAGCCTTGACCAATGGCGGGCCAGCGAGAAAGATAGTTCCCTGGCGTCGCACAATGATGCTCTCGTCGGCCATCGCCGGGACGTAGGCTCCTCCGGCCGTGCACGAGCCCATAACCACGGCCACCTGCGGCACGCCCTGGGCGGACATCACGGCCTGGTTGTAGAAGATGCGGCCAAAGTGGTCCTTGTCCGGGAATACCTCCGCTTGGTGTGGCAGGTTGGCGCCGCCAGAGTCCACTAGGTAGACGCACGGCAGCTTGTTTTCGCGCGCGATTTCTTGCGCACGCAAATGCTTCTTCACTGTGATCGGGTAGTACGTGCCGCCCTTGACCGTCGCATCGTTGGCCACCACCATACACGTGGTTCCGCGCACCCTTCCGATGCCCGTGATGATGCCGCCGCCAGCAATATTCTCTCCCTCGTATAGCTGGTGGCCGGCCAGCTGCGACAGCTCGAGGAAGGGCGAGCCGCTGTCGAGCAGCTTGGCGATGCGGTCGCGCGGAAGTAGCTTGCCGCGCGATACGTGTTTGGCCCGGGCCTGCTCGGTGCCTCCGCGCTGCGCTTGTTGGATTTGATGCTCGAGGTCGTGGACGGCCTGTGCCATACTTTGGGCATTTTCTTGGAAGATTGCAGATTTTGGCTCTGTCGTGTTTGGGATCACTGTCATCGATCCGAACATCCGCCTATGGCGGTGGTGGATTTGGCTCAGTTGTTGGCTGAGTCGATAGCCGTAGTGCTTGGTCAGTGGGATTCTGATCATGGCTGGAAGTTGTGTGAAAAATACAAAATAGAATAGAAAGTGCAAAGTGGAGGTAAAAAGAAGGGAGACATTCGGATGACATGCGCACTTTTAATGTTATTTATACAAAAGCTGGTGCAGACGCGTACTACTTTCAGCAGCCATCCATCCATCAATGGATAATAAATAAATTAATAAAAACTACAATGCGAAAACCAGCACTCAATCACAGTCAAGAAAAATAATAAGAAAATTAAAAGAGAGCGTGGGAAGACAGAAGGCTCCTTATTATCGTTATTTTAGGCGTGGGAGAAATGCAAATCGCTGGACTGGGCTGGGCTGAGCTGGGCCGAGAGAGAGGGAAAGAAAGAACAATTATAAATTCTGAGGACCTCCCCTTTACCACATGACCTTTTTATAATTTTCCATACTCTTATTTTTGTGCTTTTCTCCCTCTTTCTTTATCATGCAGTTATCTATAAAAAAATCAGGTACAGGCCCAAATCCACTCACTTCACATGCTCAATGACAACAACTCTAAGAAGAAAAATTAGAAAAGAGTTCTATTTCTTTTACAATATGAAACAATAATATAAATCTGTATTCATTAAACTAAGCACAAACCCTCCAAAGTGAAAAATTAGTGTAAAAAAATAGTGCTAATCAGAAAAATGGAAAATTATCCGCACTGCTAAATAGCAAACCTAAAATGACAAAAAAAACCCCAAGCTGATCAATCAGCTATAAATAAGTTTACATGAGATATGTATTTTATCTTGTGCTTTATGTTTTTCTTTTTCAATATTTTTATTATATATTTATTTTTGTATTTACAACCTTTCACACAAGACGGCGTGAAAAAGCTTTTTTGTAAGAAGGGGAGTTCAGGTAAGTTACTTAAATGAATTCATAGAATTATTTTTCCTGCAATTTAAAATAAAATGAATATATAGGGAAGTCTTTGTTAAAAAAACTTACGATGCACAATTTTCATTAAAACTAAATTGTAGAGGTTTTGCCAACAAATTTGCAGCTTTTAAACCATTTTTAAAGCAGCTTTATGTATTTTTATTGGTTGAACCCAAAAAATAATTTACTTTTGAAAGTACATCGTGAAAATAATGAGGCTTTTCATCTTCAAAGTAGATCAGTGAATAGGAAGCCTTTATTAATATTATTTAAAGTTGCTTAATAATTGAAGTTGTATATATTTATATTGTATACCTATAATATGTTTGAGTTGTTTGATGTGAGTTTTAAATTTATTTGGGTTCAAGAAACCCTTGTTCCATTTATGCCATTTTAGAATTGTTGGAATCCGATAATTATATTTAAAAAAGCGTAATGAATAGCAGCTTCCTAGCTCGTATTTTCTTATCAAAAATTTTATATAATTAATTAAAAAAAGTGTGGTCGGCAGCTTTCTTTATCTTGCTTTTCCAGCATTAATTCTTGGCAATACAAAAATAAAAAACAAAAAATCCAGTAGACGAAAAGCTTTTTTTTGGGCTGTTTGGCTTATCATTGCCAAGAACTTGAGTGCAAATTCCAATGTATAAAATGATACGTGCCACCCAAATAATTAACTTGCTCTTGGTTGAAGCCCACGTCTATTTTGCTGTTTTGCTTATCATTGCCATTAATTTTTTATTTGCTCGTGTCACTAGCTTATTTCACTATTACTATTATTTTTTGCTTCTATTGCCAAAAGCTGAAGACAAAAGTGAAAAAAATTACGTGTGAGATATTTTTAAAAAAAATCACACATTTTTCCATGGAATGTCCGTCTTCATTATACGCCAAATTGTGCTTTTTTTTAAAAAAAAATATTTTGACCAAACTACACAAGCATTCAAACCACCCACAAAATGTAGCCAGCAGGCATTTGAAAACAATAAACGTTTTTCTTTATTTGAACATGCGCAGATATGCCAGAATCAAAGCGCCTGTACCAGTGATCGTACCAATCATGTACTGCATGATATTAAACTTGATACTCTCCATCTGGGTCCTCAGTCCGGAAATATCCTGCTCAATCTTTGTGTCTGTCTCCCTAATTTTAATCTCATGCTGTGCCCTCTCATCCCTCGCCCTCCCCTTCTCCAAACTCATATCCAGCCTCACCCCCGCCTGTGTCCTTGTAATCTCCTCCCTCAGCTTCTGCTTCAGCTTATTAACTTCCCCCTGCAGCCTCTCGTTCTCAGCCTTCATCATTGAAAAATCCGTCTTCTCCATCATTTGTATCTCCGACTTGAGCTGCGCGAAATCAACCTTGTACATGTAAAGGGTCTTATCTTGGTCTGCTTTGGTCACAATGGAGGAGAGAATGGTCTGCGTGCTTTCTTGCAGAACCGTGGTGAGCGAGGTGACTATGCTGGTGGCTTGTTGAGTGCTGAAGCCCTCGGACTCTAGACGGACGACCATTCGGTTGGTGTCGAGGAGGTGGCGGTGCCCGGTGTTGGCTGCGCTGCTGGCGTAGGCGCGCAAGAGGGGCTTGCAAAAGAGGGCAGCGGCTCTGGAGGCGGGAAACATGGGCTGGAAAAACGGAATGATAGCAGGGTGTGAATTTGAGTAGAGTAGAGTTGGGTTGAGTTGAATTGAATAGAATCGATGGAAACAACAGTAGTAGCAGCCGCAATAAAAGCGCGCTTTTCCGCAGGGCTATCACGCCAGGGCTTGGGCTGCGGGAGGTACGGGACAAGGCCACGTGCAAAGGCAAAATTGAAAAAAGAAGCGAAAGGAAGGAAGGAGGGCAGGCGAGGCTGGCGCACTAGGCAGCACTCAGAAGAAGCCCCTCTTCTTCTTGTTGTCCTTGGACCCAGGCACAACAGCCTCCGCCTGCACGCCCATCTGGTGGCTCACCGGCGCATGCTCGACGCTGCCAACCCTGCCCTTCTTCTCCTCCAGCTCGGCGCGCTGCTTCTCCAGTACCGTCTTCATCTGCTGGTGCCGCGAGTGCAGCTCCTCCTCGGACTGCTTCAGCTTGCCCTCCTTCTCCTGCACCTTCTGGCGGAACACCGCCGCCATCTCGGCCTCGAGCTTCTGCATCTTGGCAGCATGCACCTTTTCCTCCTCCTCGAGCTGCTGGCGCGGGTTGAACTCGCGGAAGACGCCGTTGTCCTGCACGTGGCCGAGCGCCAGCAGCTTCTGCGTGCGGTAGGTCTCGTACAGGGCGACGTCCGTGGCGTCGCGCAGCTCCTCCATGTGCGTGCGCAGCAGCATCTGGCGCAGCGACACAAAGTCGTTGTGCTGCTCGTTCTCGACCTCGATGATGCCCCAGGGGTACTGGCGGCCGCGCACGCGCGTGCCGTCGGCCCGCTCGACGAACTTCTCGCTGCCGATGACCGCGAACGGAATCTTGCTGGCAATCGCCTTGTTGTCGGCAATTGTGTCCGGGTCGTCGAACTGGTCCGATACCGGGCGGAAGATCTGGATCCCGTGGAAGTTGATGTCCGCCAGCACGCGCGCCTTGAACTGCTCGACCTCCTGCGGCGTCAACGTATCGGCGCGCGCGATCACCGGGATCAAATTAACCTTGTTGTGCAGGTTGCGCATGAACTCGATGTCGACTGCGCGCAGGCCATGGCCCGTGGGCTTGATGAAGTACAGCAGGGCGTTGACCCGGTTGTCCACGATCTTGCTGCGGTTCACCCGGTTCTCCTGCGCCAGGTACGCGTCAAACCGCGACTCGATGTTCTCCAAGATGGGCTTCCACGCGCTGTCGTTGTTGATCGAGTCGCCGAACCCCGGCGTGTCGACTACCGAGAGCCGCAGCTTGACGTTGTTCTCGTTGATTTCGGCGCTCACCGATGTTATCTCGACGGTTTTGGCCGCCTGCGGCCCGCCCGAGGCTGCGGCGGCTGCGGCTGCTGCAGCGCTGCTGGTGGCTATCTCCTCCTTGGTCGGGTACACTTTGCTCTCAAACAGCGTGTTGATCAGCGTGCTTTTGCCCAGCCCGCTCTCGCCAACGACCATCAAGGTAAAGTTGAAGCCGCGCTTGATCGACCGCCGGTGCTCCTGGTTGGGGTAGTTGGAGAACCCAACGTACCCGTTCATCTTCTTCTTGACTCCGCCCGAGCCGGCCGCCTGAGACTGATTACCGCTGCGCATTCTATAGATAAAAATTAAGAGGGGAGAAATAGATGAGGACGAGGAAATTGTTTATCAGATTGCAGTGGATTGCAATTAGGGTGGCAACAGTAAAATAAAAATAAATAGGGCTTTCAAAAAAGCGGGGCCTTACCTAGAGGTGTTTGATAAAATAGAAGAATATTAAGATAGGAAAAAAAAGAATAAAAGGGATGGTGAGGAAATTTAAACTCTAATGAATTTAAAAAAGGTAGAGCTAGAAAACGTTAAAAAAGGTAGGAGTATAAAAGGTTGAAAAGTGAAAGAGAGAAAGAAAAAAAGAGTGAGAAAGAGAGTCTGCAGTGTAAACAAAAAAGAGAACACAAGGAACCTGCTTATGCACTTTCTGTTTGTTTTGCATGCCACAACCACCCAAAAATCCATCCATTCATTCCAGCCCATTTCCCCCCCCCCTTTCTTTTAGTGTTGTGAAAACCAAATAGAAGGAAAAAAAAAACCAAAACAACCTGAGAAAGAAAAAAACCACATGAAACGAGACCGTTTATTTTCATTTTTACTTTTACTTTATTTGTCTGACCTGTTTTGTCTATTTATTTATTTTCTCTTTCCTGCACTCTATTCAAGTAAATAAAAAAAGTGGGAAATCCCTTTGCAATTATTATTATTATTATTATTGTCAAAAAGTAGCATCACGTTGTTGATTTATTTGCTCGCTGCTTGATGTTTTTCCTTCACTACCAATGTAACTGGGAAAAAGAAAAATATTATACACTATACATTAATAAGCAGTGAAAGGTGCAAATGAAATTGGCATATTCAAAACATGGATTGAGCTGAGCTGAGTTGAGTCTAAATAAATTGAAATATCACTTTTGCAATTTACAAATCATAATACGCAAGATTACGTCGCACAGGCATTGTTCTCCATCGTCGCTTGTATAAATACGCATAACACGTACATACACCCGAGCAATAGTGCCAAATAGGGTTTCAAAGTAGTGTGAGAAAGAAAATTTAATTAAAAAAGGAAAAACAAGAGATAGAGAAAAATTGCCGATATTTAAAGAAGAAAAGCTGAATTCCACACACAAAAACAACCACTTCCTTGCTTTACATGTAGAATCTGTTGACATTCGACTCCCTAGCGTTTGCGCTAATAGGTGCCGCATGAACCACACCCGTGTTACCATAAGCCACATGCGGGTTGCACACTGGGCAGGCGTTGACCTGGCAATGGCAGAAAGTAAACATCGCCGGTGCATTCAACGCCAAAAGCACCAGGGCAATCAGCAGCAGCGGCACGATATTAAACACGTACCACAGTGCCTCGCTGTGTCTTCCGGCACTGCTCAGCCCCAAAAACGCCCGCCCAGTCATAAAGCACGCCCAAACCAACAAGAACAAGACGCAGAGACCGATGATAATGACATGGCCCATATGGTGGCTCTTCACGTCATTGGAGGACGCCCAAGCGGTAGCCAGCAGGAGAATAACAGCGAGAATCAGCATAATAACAACAAACGCTTGAAGGCACTGCATCCCACTATGCATCTTGGCAAACGACGCCAGGTTGAACATCAGCACAATTGCAGCAGTCAGCAGGGCAAACAGAACGAGAGCGATAAAGTACACAAACCCGACCAGCCCACGCACCGCGCCGCAAAGCGTATTATCAAGGTGAACGACCAGGCGGAAAATCAACTGCACAATGAGCATAGCCATAAGCACCGCGGCAAAATAATTAAACCACAAGGACACTTTATACATCGTAAAGAGACTCCCGGATGAGTGCTTTAGCGCGGCGCGCAGCCACAGGCAGATGCACAGGAAAATCATCGAGAGGAAGCCAAAGATAAACTCGAGTCCGCCGCACTTCAGCGCCATGATCAAAAGACCCAGTCCGAGAATCAGCGCCAGTGCCCCGAGTACCCAGCCGGCGGCGACGTTCGGAATGAACGTCAGCCATTCGCGCCAAGGCGAGCATGTCTGCGAGGGGCACAGGAAGTACATCCAGAGCTCGTAGATGGCCCCGATAATCGTTACGCCGCCCACTTGGCCGACGCCCCCGGTGATGATCGTGGGTGCCGGCAGTGTGGGGATCGTCGGGTAGGAGCCTATCACGGTTGTTGTTTCGTAGTGCGTGTTTACTGTCGTGTACGTCGTTAGCAGGTCCATGGTCGGTGTGGGCTGGCCAATGGGAACGGAAACGGTTGCAGTTATCGTTGTCATGTATGTGACGGCCGTGGTGAACACGGATGTCAGCGCTGTCTCGATGGTCTGCGTCATGCCTGGCAGCGTCACCGTGCCGACAATTGAAATGGCGGTTGTCGATGAAGACGACATTGTTTTAATCAAAAATAATAAAATAAGAGGGTCAAAAGAGAACGCGACAAGATGGTGATAGAATATTGGCAAATATATGTTTTTTAAAGTAAATAAAGTACGAAATAATGATAATTAAAGTATTCAAATGACATGCAATAAATAAATAAATAAAAAGTAAACGGAAGAGGCAAAAAAAAAAGTGAAAATAAAATAAAATCCTAGTGTGCGAATATCGATTTCGACTCCAACTCTGTTCTTGCCTAAAAATAAATGAATGAATGAATATAGTAGACGAAAACGAAGAGGGAAAAGGAGAGGGAAAAAGAAGGGAGGGACCCTGTGTGAGCAAAATATAAAAAATATTTACTGGATTGTTTAAAAAAAAAACGAGGGAGAAATAGTGGTCCCAAACCCCTTCACGCAGCGCAGTTTTAATTGCAATAAAAGAATAGTAGAACAGCGAAAGAAAAAATTTTCAAGCAGGTGTTGCCTACAGAAAAAACATGACGCGTAAGAAAAAAAAGATCACCAAATTTATTTCGAAGCCTGTGCTCGCTTCCATCCCTCACATCATCCATCCTATATATAAAAAACAAGGGGGCGGAGAATGCACTATACCTTCAAAATTGCACTCAAATTGGCCGTTGTCAACCATATGTGCATACGCCGTTGTAATTTGCTCATATAGACTAGTATTTTTTTCCCCATTTCTTTTTTTTTCTTACTCCAGTTGTGGAGTAATAAAATTAAGGAGAAAGAAAACGATTTTCAGTAAGCGCGACTGACGTTGACCTTTCCTTTGCCCCTTTGTCCCTTTGTCCCTTTGTCTCCTTTGTAAACCTGCACTATCGCTTTCTTTGTACTCTCACACACATGGAGGAGAGACATGTCCTTTCACTTTTCCATGATGCAAAGCCCTCGTCTTAAAGCTCAATTAGTTTTTTTTCTGAGTCTCCATGCTCTTTTATTTGTTGCCTTGAAGGGTATACTGAGAATTCCAAAGCCAAATATAAAAATGTAAACAAACAATTGTGCTTTGCGATCGATTGGGTGAGAACGAAAAAGGCAAAAAATAAGGCAAAAAAGAGTGGGGGGGAAGGCTCGGTCTTATTTTTTCCAATTGATCGTTTCCATGCATTCGCTTCTGCATATGTTCAAAATAAACAAAGAAACAGGAACTGCAGCATCTTTCGATAATTTATACAGCGCCACCTCATTGTCACTACAAGGCCTCCATTTTTTCGATGGTTACTTTAAAATACTTATGGCTTGTTTACTTTTATACATCCAAGTTTCCGTACAAAAACGAAAGAAACGTCAGGCTTTTTGTATTTATTCTATGTGTGTATTTAAATAAAAAAAACACTTTTTTTTGGTTCTGCCCCTTAATTGCCCTTCTTCTCAGCCTTGGCCTCGGCAATCCGAGCCTTGTGCGCATGGTACTTTGAATCAGTGCCAAATATTGTGTCCCAATAGCGGAACGATGACGAAAAGTTGTTCACAAACGCCATATGGTGGTAATCGTGGTGGTCGGCACCAGCCCAGAACGGCAAAAAGTTATGCAGCGACCACGGGAAGTCATACCCAGAGTGCGCATCAATAGCCTGAAACAAACGCAGCCAGATCCACGCAAACATCGTCACTGAATGCACGCTATCGACAAACTTGCAGAACAGGATGGGACCAAAGATAGTACCCTGGCCGAAAATAATAGTCTCCAGCGGATGAGCGTACTCGGCGGTCATGCCAAAGGGGGATGAGAACTCGTGGTGGATCTTGTGGATGCTGCGGTACAGGGGACCCCAGTGGAACAAGCGGTGCACCCAGTAGTGCCAGAAGTCCTCAATAACGAAAAACACCGCAATCTGAATGGCCATCTCCTGCCACCCAGGAAGCGGCAGCTCAGTCGTCCGGATACCTGCCAGCTGCGCCACCGGCAAAAACATAAGCATCAGGGGGCCCTCAATAATGAAATGCGAGAAAAGCAGGCTCTTCAGGCACTTCCATTGCATCGCCGATGTCACCTCCTTATTGTCCTGGATCTTGTACTTGCGCAGCGCAGGAATGTAGTCGCATGCAAGAAACGGAAGGTAACGCCCAAAGTACACCAGTTCGTGCATCAGAAATGCAATGGCTGTGAATGTCAAGAGCTCGTTGCGCCCATCGAAGGCTGACAACCAGGTCTTTTCAAACCAATTGAGCTCGTATCCGGCCGGCACAATCTTTGAAATATCGACGGTCGTGCTCAGCATCTCCTGCACATGGTCAACGACCATATTGAGAATATCCATCGTCTTTGTGTGTGTCTGTCGGTCGGTCTGTCTCCTGTATTAATGGTGTTTACGTTGAAATAACAAATGTGTCAGCCGTGGAATTCACCTCGCGCCTTCTTAGGTTTTATACGAGAAACAAATTAACAGAATAAATATAAAGTTAGAGTATGTTCAAGAACAAGGAAAAGCAAAGACAGTCCCTATCTGGCGGTTTTGTACCCAAGCTTGCTTCTGCTTGTTTGTTTGTTTATTTCTTTTTTCTTCTTTGAATTCACTGAGCAGTCTATGCCTTTTTCTTTTTTCCACCACACTCGGAGCTAACTAAAATACAAAAAGCACCAAACGCCAGAATTTCAAGGAAAGTCCGTAAAAAAAGACTTGCTTTGACCTTATTCGCCCCCTTCATCTCACAGCCATGTTTTTGGCAATACACAACAATCTGCGATTGTCATAAAATACGCATATCCAATCATGACCGGCCAAAACGCGGAACTCGCTAATTAGATCTTTAAGATAATCTTAATACGCTAATTTTTGAAAGAACCATGTAATTGCATCTCAGGTAATCAATTGTCTAATGTTATGCATATAGTTTCTGAAAGGCTTCCATCACCATGCAGCCGATTAAAAAGGCCTACTTGATATTAGTATCAGCGGAGAGCTTGAGCTTGACTCTTGGGTTTTTTCAGGCTGTGTCGCAGAAATAGCTGTCGCTGGGGTTTTGAATACACACTTGGTTATTTTGACTATGCACTTGTTCTTTTTTGTTGAATAGGAACTTGGATGTCCAGAACTCGTCGATTAGGACCACTTTGAATTCGTGTCGCAGCAGCATCTCGCACATCCCCTTGCTGCAGAGTGGCTCTTGATGGCGGAATATCCCAGCCGACTAATTGCCGAGAGCA